CTGGATGCAAGTTGAATTTGCGTATTCAGCAAGTAGCAAATAATCCAGTCCAAAAGGTCTAACGAAATCTTGGGGTTTGTTGGCATTAAAGGTTATCGCGAATCGCATACAAAGTCGAGTAATTCGGCTGATTGCTCGACCCAAACACTTACCTCCTCTCAGCAGATAGCCTTCATTCACTTATTTGCCTCTTTACAATAACGTCCTTATCTTTTTAAACTTGCATCTCCCGCCGCTCTCTTCCAAGTAATTTTTAGTTAAACTTTTCCGTTTTAGTCGATATTTTATTGAATTCCTATATTGGCAGCAATCCCTAATACTGTTTCACTTATTCAATTAATTGAAGATAACGAAATGACTGACAAGACAAGCAACATTCTCAAGTTGTAAAAGACATGGCGAAATTATTCTATAACTATCGACAAAAACTTTATGACAGGTTTTTTTATTGGATGTTGTTACATGTTCTCTTTGTCAATCGTCTACAGTCAAATCAAGCTTAAAATACCGGTTCTCAGCCAATTACCAAAGTTATGCAACGTCGAACCCGATCAATACTCTTCCCCGATAATTCGAAATATGTTTCGGCTTTAAATCACCCGCAAAGTGTTGGTAAGACATAAAAAGCAAACTAACCAATCCTTTAATTAACCTAAAATTTACACGTATTTAAGTGAACAATTCAGACAGACCGTAATTCAAAAACCTTCTAGAAATATCTTTAATTATTTAACTCTCTCCCAAATTTTTATTTAACTTTTCCAAATTTTCTTAATTTCCATCTCTTAGATTTTTAGGATCTTTTCTCGTTTTCATCTTTTTTTTTTCTCTTGTGAGTCCCAGACGTCTTATTTCCCAATCTTAATAGCTTACTAATCTAAATTTATATATGTACTCAAGACCCCTATTCACTTCGATTCCTTATAAACAAGATTTCTTTTTTTTTTCTGAGGTTATTTCATTAGTAACTTATACCTGTATTATGACCATTTTTTTAGGTTTATACACCCAATATAGTACTTTTACTTTAGAATGTTAGAATTATTTCTTTACACTCAGAGTTCTAAGCTTCTACAGAATGGCTACAAAGTTCCCAGGCAAGAATTTTATATTACCGACTAATTTTCTCCTTTTCGAGATTGAATTAGTTTCGTGGTGTCTGTAGAATATGTGAAAGATTAATCGGCCATGTTTCAGTGCATGATCATGTTAGAGAAAAGACGTATCTAGAAAATGTTCAGGGACGATTTTCACAGAGATTTACTCAACTAGGAAACCTGCTCTAAAGCAGGAAACACTTCAATTATGCACAAAGGAAACATCTTTCTATTGGAAATATCTTCTTTTTATGTGAAACATTCTTGCTATGAAGCAATTTAAAAACATCTATAGTACCATTCGTCATTGAATAAACAGATTTTTTATCTGCTAAAATTTGAAACTGCAATTTATTTACATTTTTACAATTTCTTGATATATAAAGTTGTAATCCAATTTTTGTGGATATATCTATTCATAGTAACCATTCTTACTATTTGTAATGTTCATAGAAAATGGACATTCGTCTGATAAAAAGAAAATTCATACAATTTATTTAATGTCTTGACAGTTTTGGAGTGTATGGGCTATGGAAAAGGCTTGGACGCAAATTATAGCGATAACAATATTTATTATTATTAGAAAAGCTAATACGGACATTGTCCTCTCCTACATAGGATGTGTAGCGTGACTTGGGGTCCGTTGCTGACACAGATATCCGTTTCATTAGAACAGGTCTGAGATTCCCTTCGTCTAGCTGGTCCTTTGGCCTTGGAGCAGGTCCTAAGTCCTTGTTTTTCCTCTACGCGTACCCTCGTATGGCTGTGTAACTCGATAGCTGTCATGTGGTTTTCTACTTCTATGTAAGGGGAGACTACTGGTCTAGACCAATACGTTCTGTTAAAGAAAAATATGATTCTGACAGGAATCGAACATGTATTCCCTTTTAGCTCATGAAAACACTCCTATAGCGTTGGGTTTTGAGAGAAGGATCTTTCTCAGTCAACAAGTAACAATAGGGAAACATGTTCAAACAGACCCGTATATAAGTTTCATTGTTCTCGTGATGTATAAAGTAAAGATGGATTTCTTTTACAACTAAGGACATCTTTGTTTTAATATTTCATGTTTTGTTCACATCTTTACGAGGATGTTTCATTACGTTTCTACCCAAGTAACGTATTTTGAATTCTAATTCTTTCTTTTTTTTTCATTTAAGCTTTTTTCTTCTTTTTTCGGCTAAAATTTGATTTATTTAGTTATTAAGTTTTACGTCTCATCAGTTAGAAAGTCTGTGTCTATAATTGATGATATTTCCACTGGGCTCAGTGACAGTATTTTCAAGTAATTAGCCGTCAGCCTTTACTGACACTTACCCATCATGCTTTGCAGCATTCATCGTCTGCTGTTTCAATCATTTTCTTTCTTTTAATTACTGAAGTTCTGTTTCTTGCGTTTTCAATTTCTTAAATCACATTTAATACAAATTCCAAAAGGCAGCGAATGTCAGAAGAAAAAAATTTTAAACTTGAAGTGAAAGAAAATAAAACAATAACTATAAAACTATTTTCGTTGAAAATCTAAGAATAAATTTTTTAAAAATCCACTGAAATTAATAATTATTTGTAGCCCTTGGCTTTGAAGATCAAGTAATTTACCAATATGCTAAAATGCATGAAAGGAATGTCCTTTGAGGATTTTGCTAATCTTTTTATGAATATATTTCATTTAAAGAACCAGGTGACGACTTTTGTGTTTGCACTAGGAAAACCCATGGGTAAACTTAATAATCGTATTCTTAGTGTCTGCTTAAGCCATGCTAGTTTATTTGTCTGACATTTCGTGATTTTTTTATTAGGACTAGAACTCATGAAAAAACAGCTAAATAATAAATAAATAAATTTATTTATTTAGCTGTTTCTACAGAAGAAGAAAGGAATGTTTGGCTAAAATTGATCATTGTTGTGCCAAAAAGTCGCGTAAATGGATTTTTTAAATACCGTATTTCACGCTATTTTACATGCCCCCATATAACACACACATTTTAAGCTAAAAAAAAACACGTAAAAGTAAAATACTTCAGACATTTTAATGAAGAAAAAAGATAAAAAATTTAAGTCAAAAAAGAAAAAGAAAATCAGTTAGAAATCTCAGCTGCTTAAGTAAAGTTTATTCACCATTTCTTATTAGAGTTTTTTAAGTTCTGAAAATTCGTGACTGTCGTCTTCATTCTCAGAAAATTTTGTAAAAGCCTTTTATCCTCAGCACATTGAGAGTATTCTTCATCCCAGACTTCTTGAAAGTCTTGACAATAATCTCTTATTTAAACGTATCCCACAATGGCTTGACCTACTGACACATACATCAATAAGCAGTTACTATCAGATGTTTCGTGTATACTATTTCCAATGGTCCCATTGTCATAGTAACGTGATGCATGTTGACATCGGGGGGCATCAAAATCTACTCTTCGCAGGTACATTTTAGTGGACACATTTAATTTAAAATTACGCCTTATACTCCGTAAAAGACAGTCGATCTGATTTTTCCAGTCAAAATATTTGTCACAATCAGGTCTCTTGATGACACAACTACGCTTCCCCTATATACTTGACGCCCCACTGAGTCAAGATGTGACACAAGGTCAGTTTTTAACGTGGGGAACCCGAGTGTTTTCACTCGGCCCACTGGTCTAAGCTGGTCTTAGCTTGTCCAAGCTGGTCAGAGCTGGTCTAAGCTAGTCATAGCCATGATACTACCAGCACAGAAGGCGAAAAAAGTATGACAGAATGGAAAAAGTTTTCGTGTGACGCGTTTTGGCTTTTAGGAATTCATCTTGAAATCTTCTTGATATGTAAAAATGCATTGTTTTCTCCATATGTATATGGCCTAAGTTTTCTGGCATGTGCAGACCGGTAGACTAAATAAGTAATAAAAATTTGTCAGATTAAAAAATAAATCCATTAAATTCTTTAGAAAATTGCTTTGTCTATGTTTCAGATATGAAACCGAGCAGACATATGTCTCAGGAATATCTGAATGAGTCAATTCAATATGCTTTTAAAGACAACATAGAAACTTGCATTATTGTAGCACTCTTCGCAATCAAGCGGTAAATCAGACGGAGGATACTCCTGAAAAAGGAGAAGCATATTCGATATTTGACGGAGTTTTATCTAATACGCAGGCTGGTAGATGAAATGATACTGCTTTAAATAGACAGAATATCTACTCAAATATAAATACCCACTAAAACGTCTGGAGTATACTTTCTGTTTATACGTTATTTTTATAGATGCAAATATTTAAGTAAATGCTCTGTTTATAATAAACAGTATTAAACAACTTTTACTGGCCTGAATGTCCGAGAAATTTCATAAAAAATGTCCTCCGAAACGAATCGAACCTGTATCTTACACGGAACCGTCATTTCGCCTGACGTGCAATACTATTCAGCTACAGAGGAAGCGTCTGGTTAGTAAAAGTCAAATTACTGTTTTTTTTTTTTTTTTTATATATATAAAATTTTCAAAAGGATAGAATCCAGGAGAACTCAATGTCCAGGACTGAGTAAGAGTATTAGTGTTTAAACCTTTTTTTATTATATATATATATATATATATATATATATATATATATATATATATATATATATATATACTGGTTATACGTTATTTTTATGGATACAACTTACTTGAGTAAATACTCAATTTTAATTAAACATTTTTAATTGCATTTATTAGTCTGAATGTTTGTGAAATTTCGTAGAAAATATGTGTTTTCAGACAAGAATCGAACCTGTGTCCCATACGGAAACCGTCGATTCCTGTCGGCGGACGCATATTTTTTATGGAATTTGTCGAACATCCTGTCCAGTATATGTAATAAATACTATTTAATAAATACGGGCCATTTACTCAAGTAAGTTGTATCCATAAAAATAACGTATAAACAGAAAATAT